AAAAATGAGGGTCGGGGATTTAGCTCAGTGGTTTTGCTGCCTGCTGCGCAAGCGCAAGGACCTGAGTTCGATCTCCGTTACCAAAAAAAAAAAAAAGAAAGAAACTAATATATCCTAATTGCAACAAAAAATGCAGAAAGGCATAAAGTAGAAAATAAATTCATCTTTAAACTCAATATCCAGATAAAGCATGGTCTACATTTTTGCTGTATCTCTTCCAGATCTTTCTCTCTGAATGTACAGGTACATTTTTACCATGATAGGATGGATGATGCTGCATGCTGGTGTTCTGTTACCTGTGCTTTTCACTTAGAGTGAATCATGGCCATTGTTCCATGCAGTCTCATTTTAAACATGTGCATGGTTATTAGTCATGTAATGTTAGCCAGTTACTAAAAGATGATTTCCAGATGAACTGAGAGCCAAGCATCTGGGCCTGAAGTCCAGGTGGCACCAGTCTCCATCACCTAAAGCTGGGGTTTTCAATTCTGTAGGACACTGTGTTGCAGACCTGAGACATCTGGGAATGGATTGAATGTTCTTTCCGTCTATCGATGTCACTTATTCCATAGGTACAAACACCTCTTACCTACTTCCTTTCCTTTCAGCCTTCATGGCCACCACCACTGGGACAGGGCCATTGAAAGGAGAGGGCCTTGCTGGGAAAACCAGTCTGCATGCCCAAAGGCCTGAACTCCTTCTGGACTTGCCATAGGCTATGTGACCTTGGGCAAGTCACTTTTCTGCAGATCAGAGGAAACAATATCCAGTCTCCAATCAGTGTTGTTTTATTGGAGGACTCAGATAAGATTATGACTGAAAGTACTATGTAAAACACAGTGCACTGTATAGCTGCAGTTTTATTGTTAGTCTGACCTCTTTACTGGAGGTGTCAGGGAGAGGGGTAGAGGCCAAACCAGTTGGTCTAGTTTCCTTCTAGTGTTGCTTCCTGGAGCTACCTCTCCCGTGGTGTACTCTTCCCTCATCTACACTCTCATCTTAAAACTGAGGGTTGTAAAGCTCAACGGCACAAAGCTGATAAGCTTGTGAACAACTGAAACTTTAACTCTCATGAATAGCTGGTGGGAAGTAAATCAATACAAATTCCTTGGAAAATTGTTTGGTAGTATCTTCTAAAACTGTTTGTGTGAATTTCCCAATAGCCTGCCAAGTTGCCTGCTAGTTTTGGAATAAGCACATATACATGCAGATGTTCACAAAACGACGTGTTATTAGACTATTCATAGCAACACTGTTTGTGACAATCCCAAACTAGTAATCATGTAAATGTTCATCAGTATAGGATAAATTGTAATATTTTCACAGTGGACTATCAGCAATGAGAATGAGTGGTAGGTAAATAGCCAGCTTCATGCAATATGGAACAATCTAAAAAATGTGGATCTGACAGAAAGAGTCTGACCAAACAAAGTCTGACCAGCAATAAAAAAGTACACACTTCTTTCATCACTCTAAAACATAGTGTCTTAGAACAATGATTATTTCTTATGAGCTTGTGGGCTAGTTGTGAAGTTTCTCTTCTGATTTCACCTGAGCTTACAAGATTGCACTGAGCTGCAGAGTTGGCTGGGTTGAAAGATTCAAGGTGACCTCATTCTCTGAGTGACCTAAGCCACCTTCCTTATGTGGTGATCTGAGAGCAGTGTTCCAGGAAGGGTTAGGGTTAGGTAGAAGGTGGAAAACATCTTAAGGAAGGTCCAGCCTCAGGAGGTGCACAGTGCCCATTCCTCTGCATGGTGTGGTCAAACCAAGGCAAAAGGCCAGCCCAAATTCAAGAGGTTTCTCTTGATGAGAGGAAGTCACATTACAAAGGGTCACACATACAGGAATGGGAGACATTTGTGGCCATATTTTCCACTGACCACAAGACAGCATGATTCCATTTATATCATGTACAAAGGCAGGCGAAAATCAGTGTTACAAATTCATCTGCAGATAGGCCTGGGGAGTGTGACAGAGACCATCTGGATTCTTGGATATCATATACTTGTGTATCTAGGTCCAGGTTACTAGATTTGTTCTGCTTATGAAAATTTAGCAACTTTTAAAGACATCTGTCTTTTTTTTTGTATGATTTTTTGTATGATTACTGTACTGGAATTAAAAGTTAAAAATTATATAGTGGCTTCAAAAGAGTAAAGTTCACGTCCCTTTTAGTAATAGTCTGGCACAGATCCTCAGGGTTATTTAGGTCATCTTGCTGTCCCATCATCTTGCACTCTTCTGCACAGCTGAAGCAGATACTGGCTGTCTGAATTCCACCACTGGGCGGGACCCTGAGGGGAGGGTCTGGACCTGCACACTCTCTGGAGGTGATGAGATGGAAGTTATGCACATCACCTCCATTCACAATTTACTGAAAACTTACTCCCACAGCAAGCCTAGCTGGGAAAGTGGCTTAGCTTGCCAGCCAATTCCAGGGAAACAGCTAGCAGTCTCCTGCATTTTTAATGATGAAGCTGCACTTTAATAATTATGCTTTCTTAAAAGGCCACTGACAAATAGCTAAGTTCCTTTCTTCTCAGTGTTAAAAGATTACAAACCCCAAGTGACCTGAGTTCTGTACTTTGCTGGTAACGCCTGTGTCAAAGTAAAGGCCATTAATAACCACCACCTGTTGGGCTGAGGATTTAGCTCAATGGTTCCGGTGCCTGCCTTGCAAGCACAAGGTCCCGAGTTCGATCCCTGTTACCAAAAAAAAAATCACCACCTGTTTTCCTTAAATATATTAATATGTTAGCATATATATGAATTGCTTAAATTTTAAATATATTATTAATCAGATTCCAAGCCAAGGGCTTAGATACTTTCCTGGAAAAAAAAATCTACTGTCTTTGGAAAGTTCCTTTATATGATTTTACAGGGACAGCCTCTAAAGTGAAGTGTTCAATTAATTTACTGGCTTGTGTTTTAGATGCTGAGAGTATCCAATCAGGGCCTATCAAACTAAAATAATTCTCTACAAATGTTAGCATTTATTCATCCATTTTTCTTTCCCTTTTTTTGAGACAAGGTCTTGCTGTATATTCAGGCTGGTCTTGAACTCACTATGTAGCCTAGGCTGGCCTTGAACTCCAGGGGATACTCCTGCCTCAGCCTCCACAGTGCTGAGATTACAAGTGTGCACCACCATGCCTGGCCTCTTTTTTTTTTTTTTTTTTTTTTGAGACAGTCTCACTATGTAGTTCAGGCTGGCCTTGAACCTGAAGCAATCCTCTTGCCTCAGTCTCCACATTGCTGGGATTACAAGCCTGCTCCACTGTGCCCAACTTTTATCCATTTTCTACCATTAAACTTACATGTAGGGTTTAAGAAAGAGGTTTTATTGGCATACAGCCCTGCTGACTCATGAGAGGCCTGCTGTTTCCTCACTTTCCCCTCTTTCAGCAGCCTGTCCTGTTTTCCCAAGACCTCTTCCCTACCCATCCTTGGACTTTCTGCCTATCTTCTTTCTACAAGAAATTTCCTCTGCAGCATGAATAACCCAGTGTTTGCCAGGACTTCCCCTGAGACATCTGTCAACTGCCCCCTTGGACTAGACAGTTACTGACCATGGCAGTGGGTGTTGCCCAGTGATAGAGTGTTTGCCTGTGCATCCCAGCCCATGGGCATCCCCAGCATGGCAGAAAAGAAAAAAAAAAAGCTAACTGGTCTCAGAAACATAAAAACAGCCAGGTGTGCTGGTGAACCCTGTGATCCCAGCCCTTGGGAGAGTGAGGTGGGAGGATCTCTGCAAGTTCAAGGCCAACCTGGGCTACACAGTGAGTTTAAGACCAGCCAGAACTGTATAGAGATCCTATCTCAAACACACACACACACACACACACACACACACACACACACACACACACACA